TCAGATTTGATTCCCTGTAATCTATGTGAATGAATGATCAGTAAGTTAGTTGCTAAAATGCTGGAACAAAGCACTTTATAAAACCTGGATGCAGCCTCTCAACTACTATAAAATGTTATAGTTCAGTGACAGTGATCTCAAAGGTAGTGAAATTATGACAATATTGAGCAGCTAAGGATCTTCACATAGTATTTTTACATCTGAATTTCCTTTACCCCTCTATTACCTTTGGTTTATTGTTTGCAAGACTGAATAATTTCATTATAAAAGATTTTCAGTTTAACAAGAGAAAAGCCTTCCTTTCCTCTGTCCACTATCCCATTGAAAGAAAATGTAGATCAACAGTAAAGTCAGCACAAAGTAAATTCATTTCACTAAGAAGTAATGAATAAACACTAAGGTGTTTAAGGTAATGAAACAAAGAATGTGTTTTTCATTTTGGTTGGAGTTGCTTATCTGAGAAGTACTGTCTTCAGAGAAGTAATCCGCAACTAATGGAGACTGTTGGCTCCATTCATCTTCTGTTGACTTTGTAGTTATTTTATAGAGTGAAAAAGTGCTTGTGATGGAAAACGGAAAATGAGGAAGGAACAGAAAAAGCCATGGAGAGCACTATTTTAGATCTACCTTTCTAAATGTTCCTACTTTTTCAGTGCTGATTAGCAATTGTATCTATACAAAGAACTTCAGATCTCAAAGTCAATGTTAAATGAATACTGGAGTTTTTGTGAAAAGTAAAGTTCAGCTTTCTAACTGTTACATTGTTTTAATTACTTCCCATATGTCACTGCCTTATACAAGCTCCATGGGAAAGCCCAGAATATGTCCTTCAGTATACTGTGTTGTACCTAGTAACCTTATCTCCAGAGCACAGAACTGGAAGCTTTTTGAGTTTTGAATGTTAAGAGGGTTATCAAGCATGTTCAGTAATGATTGAGATTCGTAAGTTCAGTTATGAACTCAGGGCCAAGTTCTTCCTTTTAGATGATGCATATCTAATCTTACCATCATGAATGAGGTTGAAAAAATAAAACTGAAAAAATATACTAATATACTTCTATTAATTTGTATTTCAGTGTTTGTTCTAAGGGATGCTGCTGTTCTGAAAATTCTATACTATAAGCTTTGGTCATGCTATTATTCTGTCTGTTGAATCATCATGAGCCTTGTTAGACCACTTCAAACAGAAATCAATCTAAATGAACAAATTTCCACCCCATGGAATTATCTTATTAGCTATATCTTATCTAATTTTCAAGTCAAATGTCTCTTCATGAGCAATAGAACCTTATAGACTCAATTAGCAAACAAGGAAGTGTCTAAAGATAAATTGTATCTTCAGTTTATTGATGGCTTCTTCCTGCTCTGAACACTAACATAACACCCAAAAAAAAGGCTGAAAGGTTCAAGGTATAACTAATGAATTATAGAGACATTCAGGTTTAAGTCACTTTCACCTATAACCAAGGTATTTTTAGGACTGAAAAACTGTTGGTAGGCATTAGATGAGCTGTATGTACAGCTCTTAGTAGAAAAAAAATCTACTTTTAACAAAATCATATTGACATCTGTGACTAGTTCCCTTAGTTAAGCAAGGCACTGCTCACTATTTTAAGTGAACTATTTAAGTTAACATACCTTGCTAAATCAAATCCTGCTTTGACAATTTCATTTGAGAGCCAAGAAACGAATAAGCGTATTGCAAATTATTCTGGTTAGAGATAACATTCCTTAACTAGGATTGAGACAACTTGGTAGACCAAGAATTGTGATTAAACTTTTACTGCTACCTCTTTGCTTATTCTTTTTGTAAACATCATTGTAGTGAAATCCAGTATCAGATTAAATTTATTCCTTTAAAGAGCAAAATTATTTAGGTAAAGTACTATAAACTATATTTATCAGTCAGTCCATGAAGCAAACTTTATTTGTGTTAGCAGGTTAAAAATAAAATAAGTCCCAGGTCTGTTTACATTCTTTAATATCAGATTTCATGTAACTGGTAAACAGTTGGAAAGTTAATAAAATAAAACAGGAAAAAACTAGCATGAATTTTCCATTCTTGGAAATATTGTGAAATACAGTACGTTTAACATGACATTGTGTGACATTAAGGACAAAAGAATTTTTGTTGTTAGTTTTTAATTCATGTTTAAATTTCAAGCCATTTGAATGCCATCTCTTGATTTTATTTCATTTAATGTTTTTAAAAGAAGATTTCTACCCATTCAAAACCCAGATATTTAAAAAATGCTGTCATGTTGCTGCCTCAGTCTTCCAGTATTGTTTGCTGATCAGCATGGCACCATGACTAGACAGGAGGCCAGTACTTTACATTTTCAGTTTGCAAACAAATTGCCACTGAATCTGTCATCAGAACAATTACAGAAAGGAACTAATACTTGTTACCACTCCTAGAGCCACTTCTCTCCAAAAACGGTCAATATTGTTGTTTAAATAGAGACTATGCATTTAAATAGAAACTGTGCATTTTCCATAAAGCACCACATTCAGCCCTCAGTGCACGTAGTTTCGTAGTTTGTAGGGTCAGAAGGGACCTGAGCAGATCATCAATTCCGACCCTGTGCCATGGCAGGAAAGAGTACTGGGGTTAAACGACCCCAGGAAGGTGATTGTCTAGCCTCCTCTTAAAGACCCCCAAGGTAGGAGCCAGCACCACTTCGCTTGGAAGTTGGTTCCAGATCCTAGCCGCCCTGACAGTGAAGTAGCGTCTCCTGATGTTTAGTCTGAATCTACCCTCTGCCAGCTTATGACCATTCTTTCTAGTCACTCCTGGTAGTGCTCAGGGGAACAGGGACTCCCCCAATGCCTGCTGGTCCCCTCTGACTAGTTGGTAAACAGCCACTAGATCCCCCCTCAGCCTTCTCTTGTGGAGGCTGAACAGGTTCAGGTCCCATAGCCTGTCCTCGTATGGCCTGCCCTGCTGCTCCCTGATCATGTGAATGGCCCTCATCTGGACCCTCTCCATGTTGTCCACATCCCTCCTGAAGTGCGGCGCCCAGAACTGGACGCAGTACTCCAGCTGTGGCCTGACCAGTG